CCCCCCACCAGGATGCCTTCCCCTAAATCTGGAAGTTGGAGTTCTTGGCTGTCAGGCAAGGAGGGGCTCCCAGCATCTGGGCTCCCTGTGGTTGGTGGTTTAAAGCAGCCTCTCTCCCCTCCTCACTCTTGCTCAACCGCACCAAGCCTGGGGTTCCCAGGAAAGCCCCTGCCACGTAACTAGCCTATCAGTGGGAGGGATCCTAAGTAGAATGAGGCTCCACAGCTGTTTTCTTGGAAATCATGCTGGTTCTGAGAAGGCCCATGTTTGCTGGACTCTTGAGTAGCTCAGGCCCAGAGAGATGGGAGCTGTTGCATTTGCACATTTTCCATTACTACTGCAAAGCCATTGTGAAAGACTTGGCTTTTTTTTTTTTTGTAGTTTTTGGCTGGGGCTATGTTTGAACCTGCCACCTCCCTCTGGCATATGGGGCTGGTGCCCTACTCCTTTGAGTCATCCTCCTGAAAGACTGGGCTCTTTTAGGAGAACTGAGGTTGTGGAGGGGAATAGTCACCTGGGGCTGGCACAGCGAGCCCCCATACCCATGAGTTCTATGAGGGCTGGGTTTTGGTCCTGCAGACCCATGGGCTCTGCTTTCTCCCAAGTGGCCCCATCTCCAACAAGTGAAGTAGTAGGCTCCTTGAACACCTGTAGAAGTGAAGCCTCTTTAGGCCTCAGTTTCCCCACCTGCCAAACACAAAGAGAACTCTGGCTTGGCTTCCTTCTGGGGGGGAGAGGAGGGGCTATTAATAAGGAAACAGCTTCCCTGGGGCAGGGCAGGGGCACTACTGCCTATTGGTGTATATGTGGTCTGGTGAGTGCCCTGGGCATGGCTCCGAGTCAGCTGTCCTGGCCATCCCGTGGTCCCAGGGGAAGTCAGCAGACTCCTGCCCAGGCCCTGTGCAGCTGCAAATGACCCTGAGCAAGTCGCTTCCCCTCTCAAGGAAAGCTGGGTAGCAGCAGGGACCCCAGTCTCAAAGCCTCAAACTTTGTGTCAACTAACTTCTCTGAGATTCAGTTTCCTTAATCCATCAGCAAGGGTTACAAGCCCAGTGCAGTTAGTGAGTGGAGCATCCTTAGGACACGGTAAGCCCCAGGTCTAGTGATGGCCTGAGAAGTGAAAGGGAGAAGCAGGGTGGACACCAGTGACCCAAGAGCCAGGGTTAAGGCAGTGGGAAGTGCAAGTCATCCTGCAGAGGGAAGTGGGCCTGAGCCCATGGAGGAGGGGCTAGGTGATATCCTGGAATGCCCTGGTCTTCCCCTTGAAGGGAGCTCACTCCATGGTTAGCACTGCTCTTATGACTGATGCTGCCAGTTGCCTTCTGGCCAGGTCTACTGCTGAGGCCAGGTCTATTGCTGCAGCCAGGCCAGCACTGCACAGCCCATTACCCCATGCAGCTGTGAACTGTGGGTCCTGCCTCCCTCTTGCCTTCCTCCTCTTCCTCTTCTGGAGAGCTTCCCTCCAGCTCCCTGCTCAGATAGCCCAGGGAGTGAATAGAAGGAGGGCTGATAACGCATCACCCTGTATTATTCTCTGGCCAGGGCTGGGTTGGTCTCTTCTGTTGCCCCATAGGGCAGGGGTGGAAGTTTAATTAATTAGCTAAACAGGCAATGAAAAAGATTGGGAAATATATATTTTTTCCAAGTGAAAAAAGCTTGAAGGATAGTACCACTTAGTCCTACATCTAACACTCTGGCTTGAAAGTCCTTCCTTGTATCTGACTTAAATATATCAAGCTGCATTTCAGACACTGAGCAACAGGGGAGGAGAAGCAATATAGTACTATGCTTAGTGAAGGAGCTTCCAGCTCCACAATGATTGGCACATGACTAGACCTAGCTGTGCCTCAATTTCCTCATCTGTGAAATGGGATTAATTCAGCCCTACTCAATTTAAGTGGCCTGGAAATCAGGTAATGTATACAAAGCACTTAAAAGAACCTGGCATCCTGGAGGCCAAGAAAAGTCAGCTGTGGATCTAAAAGAGTTGAAAACAGGACCATGAATAGAATTTGCATACCCCTGTTTATAGCAGCATTATTCACAGTAGCTCAAAGGTGGCAGCAACCCAGTGTCTGTTGAGGAATGAATGGATAAACAAAATGTGATGTGTCTGTATGATGGAATATTACTCAGCCTTAAAATGGAAAGAAATTCTGACACATGCTGCAACATGAGTGAACCCTAACAATATTATGCTGAGAGCAGTAAGCCAGTTACAAAAGGACAAATAACTGTATGACTCTACTTATGTGAGGTCCCTAGAGTAGTCAAACTGTAGGGGGTGGCGCCTGTGGCTCAGTGAGTAGGGCGCTGGTCCCATGTACCGAGGTTGGCAGGTTTGAACCCAGCTGGCCAAAATTGCAACAAAAAAATAGCTGGGCGTTATGGCGGGTGCCTCTAGTCCCAGCTACTAGGGAGGCTGAGGCAAGAGAATCTCCTAAGCCCAAGAGCTGGAGGTTGCTGTGAGCTGTGATGTCACGGCACTCTGCCAAGGGTGACAAAGTGAGACTCTGTCTCTAAAAAGAAAAGAGAGAGAGACAGTAGAATGATGTGAGGGGGCTGAGGGTAGAGGGAAGGAAAGTTATTGTGTAATAGGTATAGAGCTTCAGTTTTGCAAGGTGAAGAGTTCTGAAGATGGACGGTGGTGATGGTTGCACAATGTGAATGTACTTAATGCTATAGAACTGTGCACTTATTGATACAATGTTTAAAATAGAAAATTTTTGTTACATGTATTTTACAGTAATAAAAAAAAAAAAACAGCTGCCATTGCTTGAGTAGAGGAAAGTGAGCAGCTGTCCTATAAAGCCTAGGCCTCTCAGCTCTGGGTTGCACACAGGGGCTGACTGTAGCTGCTGGCCAGGTGCTGGCACAACTTGACTGCTGAGCTGGACTTTGGGGGCCATTGCCAGTGTGCTCTTACCTGCTAACCAGCCTGCCTGGTGGAACCAGCAGACTGTCTCTGATTTATCCCCTAGGAGGTGAGAAATAGGATAGCAGCAGGTTACAAACATTCCCAACCGGCATCTGATACTCATTTCCTGCTGAGGGTGGACCCGTGGCTGGCTTCTGGCTCCCTCTGGAAGTGAGTAAGAATAGCTCCTGCCCTGTGAGCCCCACTGGATGTCATCCCTCAGTCCTCTGTGCAGCCCTATTTTCAGTTTTCCCTTGTTTGAGGGACTGAATTCAAAGAGAGAGAGTGACTGGTGCATCACACAGGCAGAAGGCAGGGTTCTCTTTCCCAATCCCTGGCAGTCACTCTGGGTGAGCCATTGTGGGCCACTGGGGATGAGGTTGGCAGCCTTGTCCCTGCCTTGCAAAGCCCATGCTGATCAGGGGCTGTCTCTGAGGGGACAGTGAAGTCTTGTGGGCCTGACAACCCCTCCATGCCATGCAGATTTCCTAATCTGCTTAGAGTTAAGAGGGACACAGGATGGAGCAGAGGCTGGCAGGAGAACCTTGCAAGAATTGCGCAATGAAGCCACAACAGGCAGCAGGCCAGGACCCCTATCATCCATGACTGGATGAATTTGGACTGGGCCTGTCCCCCTCTTCCCATCTGTGCACTGTGGAGCAGATGGAATGACCTCCCAGCCTTGGGCACTGTGGCTCTGTTGACGCATCTGAAAAATGTTATCCCCAGGTCCTTGGGGAGAGGAGGGGTGGGGTATGCAATTGGCTCTGTCCTGGCAGCCTCCTGTGCTCTGCCCCCTGTAAAACCCCCAGGGACAGGATAGATGACAGACTATGCTCAAACCTGGCACTTGGCCACCACTCCTGAAGAGGAAGAGGAAGTTGTCAGTCCCAAGGGGCACCCCCTGAATGTACCCCCCCCCATACTCAGCTGCCTCTCCCAGCTCTGGTAGACCAGTGCCCAGGCTAGTTGTGGGGGTGGGGAAGGAGGAAGGGAGGCGGGAAAGGGGAGGAGGACTAAACACAGGAGCTGCAAGAAGCAGAAGGGAAGCTGGTGCCTAGCTGGGAAATTCCTAAATGACAAGGTCCTTTCCAGAGGGCAGGAATTCCTCTGCTGTGAAATGGGGAAAGAAGTTAATCACCAATGGGTCCCCTCTCACACATCCAGCCTTTCCACCTCTCTCATCCTCACAGACCCTGAGACACAGTTTAGATGAGGGGAAACTGAGGACTAGAAAGTAGTGTGACCTGCTCAAGGCCATACTGAGCGGGTAACACTGTGCTGAGTGATGATAAGCCTGAGCCCTGGGATCTGGGCCTTGTGCTCACTCCCTGCCAACTTCAGAAGCCCTTGGAGTCCAGCCTAAGTCCCAGGGAGGCAGTGCTCAATGGGAGTCTTCCAGGGCTGTATAAACTCAGTGTGAACTGAGTGTGAACTCATACTTTGCCATTTACTGCCTATGTCACCTGGGTGAGTAATTTCACCTTTCTGAGTAGTTCCTGGCTTCAAGCAAGGCCCACTAGTGAGAGGGAATGCCAGGCCCCGGCCTGTGCACAGCTGCCTCTCTCAGTCCCCTGGTCAAAGCTGCAGCTCCCTCCCTTTAGAGCGCCTCCTCCAGGAAGCCCTCTCTAAGCTTCCCTGCCAGAGCAGAAACATTCTGCCCGGAGCCTGAGCCGTGAACTTCACGGCTGAAGTTGGTGGGTGTGTGGGGGAACTCTGTGACGCGGGAAAGTGGCCCCAAGACGCGAGCCCCTTTCAGATAGCCTATCAGAAACTGTCGTCGAACAATGGGCTTGGCGGCGCCAGACGGATCTCGCCGCCCCCCTCCACCGCCCCCACTCCATCCTTCCCCGTACCCCACGTTCCAGACGACTCACTAGCCCCCGTCACCCCTGCCTCGGCTAGTGAGAAGTAGCGACCGCCTCTCATTCCTCTCCTCGGCCGGCTTGGAGACAGGGTCACAGGGACACAGCCCCCGCCACACCAGCCCTGGGCCTCCGCCCGCGGGTTTTCCGCGGTTACGGTGGGAGGGGTGGGGCGGGGGCGGAGTCTACGCCTATTTCAGGCGGCGCCAAGCTGGAGCCGGTACAGCGGCGGCCTGGCCCGGACACAGTAAGTGACTCTGCCTCCGCGTCCGCCCCTCATCGCTCCGAGCGGCTTCTTGCCCGGCCCCGGCCCGGAGTCCCCAGCGGAATTCCCTGAGGGAAGGGCTTGACAACAGCGGAGGGGACACTCCGAGGGACTCTGGCCTCGGACAGCTCCACTGCTAGGGAAACTGAGGCTCCTGCGCTGAACGGCGCTCCCGGTGGGCCTGTGCTGTGGGCCTGTGCTGCAAGAGGCAGGAGGGCTAGGTGGGCGGACAGGGGCAGGGTCTCCCTTCCATTTGCTTAGGAAGGCCCAGACACGTGGCTGACTCCCTGGCTGTGTGACTTAGGCTAAGTCACTTCCTTGCCTGTGCCTGGATGTTCTCATCTGGGGGATGGGTGCACCTCACAAAAGAGGAGCCAGAACCAGGAGCAGAGTGTGTGGCCCTTAGACTTGAGCCAAGCCCTTAGCTCTTAGCCAGGCAGGGAATGAGGGGAGTGAGTGTGCCTGGGTAGAAGCTGCTGAGGGTAGGCCTAGGGGTATCTCTGTTGAGCTGTGGCCACTCTGTATGGACCCACTGTATGTCTCTGAGCAGGCTCCTTCCTGCCTCAGAGGGCCCAATCAGGCTGGGGCTTTAAGGAGTGCCTTCCTGGCCTCTCCCTGGCCTGGCTGTACCTCACTGAGCCTGCACAGCAGACACAGGCTCACAGGACACTTGCCCTCACTGAGCCTCAGCTGTTCCCAGCAGCTGGCTATGATTTTGCCACATCCTCTCAGCAGCACTATGAGGTGAGGGTCCTCATCCCCATTTCACATATGGGGAAACAGGCCTGTGAAGAAAGGGGGTGTCAAGTCAATACACTAGTGAGGGGTGCAGAGGGCCCACAGCTGTTTCTCTTCCCACTACACCAGCCACCTCTGGGAGTCAAAACCTGGGATGAGGCTCAGGGTCCCACTGGGGTACCTTGCTGGACAAGGGGTTTGTGTCACAGAGGAGAAAGTAGTGATACTGTAGGGGACCTGCAGGAGCTGGGTCTGTGTGGGGATGAAGGAGTAGTGTCCTACCTGGAGGGGTGGGACAGTGAGGGCTGAGGTAAGGCTGGTGGGCAGCACTACTGATCAGGGTCACCCTTCCCCCACTCCCAGGGATGGGAGTGCCAGGATGGGGCTGAGTGGACCTGCTGCATAGACCAGCTTCTATGGGTGCTTGGTGTGCAAATAAGATGGGTTGGGAGGGGAAGCTGGGCCAGTGGCGGGCAAGGCAGACATGCCCATTGGCCTTTCACCTGGGGACCTTGGCCTTGGGGCTTCCCAGGACATTCCCTACTTGCTCCTGGAGTGGAATTTACAGGCTGAATGGTGCCAGGGAGCAACTGAGGCCCAGGAGTGTGGGACTCTGCCCAGGGCACCAGGCAAGATGACGGGGTGGGGGTGGGAGACGTGCAGGTTTCCTATCCCCCAACTGACTCTAGTCAAGCCTCGGGGTATGGGGCAAGCCCCTTGGGGGAATGGGACAGGGTACCAGGCTGGTGGAGGTTGCAGGGGCTGTGGGAAGAGACCAACAATTCTAATCTGAGGCCCCATCCTATTGTGCTTGGGGCATGCACTCCTACCACCAGCCTCAGTTTCTCCTTCTGGATGATGGATCATCCTCTCTGCCTTGCAGAAATTTGCAGGGGTTACTTGAAGTCATGATACATGAGGCACAGCTTGATATATTTATTCTTGGGGGTGGGGCAGGCAGGTGGCACCATGGTTACAGGTCATCTCAGTGGCTAGGGAGGCCCAGTTCTGCCTGCTCCCTCCCTCATGGTTAGCCATACTCCCCCGCAGTGGTCTTGGTTTTGCTTTGACAATGGTCAGGGTGCTGGGGAGGGCCCTCCATCTCCTGAATGGAGCTTGTAGGTCATTTGGGAACATGAAGACAGGGGAAGAGCCCGGTGACCTGAGTTCCAAGCCCAAGCTGCTGACGACAGGGGCATTTTAAACCTAAATAACAATATCCTTTCTAGATGATAGAGAGGAAGAAATGTGATGGGCAGCCTGGAAGGGTACAGAGACTAGAAGCTTTTGTGACAAAGATGTCACTCTGTTCAGAAGCAAGTAAGATGGGGCAGAAGCCAGGAAGCCTAGTTCTGGGCCCAAGTTGCTATGTGACCTTAGGCAGTCCTATGCCTCACTGAGCCCCTGGCCTCCAATGACATATGAAAAGCTCTCTGAGGTCCTTTCCCATCCTCTGTGGCTTCTGTAGACCTGAGCCTAGGGCTGGCAGAGAGGATCAGTGTCTGCCCCCTCATGACCCAGCAAGAGCAGCTGTGTTCATGGCAGCCCTCCATGATCCCACAGTGATCTGGGTGCTCTGTGACCCTAAGCTTGGCAACAACCTTTCTGGACTTCTGTTCTTACTGTGTCCAAAGGGCCACCAGCTCATGCCCTATCTCTTCCCCCAGAGTCTCATGGGATCCAAGGAGGTACTCATTCCCTGCAGTCCTTTCTTCCTGCCCAGAGGGTGGTCTGTCAAGGAAGGATTTACCAAAATGAAGTGAAGGCCCCCCCTTCTGGGAAGCTTGTTGTCCCCAGCCTCTTCCCTGTCTCAGGTGGTTCTGGGAGAGGTCACACATGAGGTATTGGAAGAGGAGCTGTGGGAAGTCAGATACTTGTGGCCAGGAAGCTCTGCTCACTGGTGCTCACCTAGGCCAGGAGATGGCCAGAGCTCTGATGGCTGTACAAGTGCAGATACATCAAACGTGCTCAGTGCTGCCACCACAGCTGAGTGCTTGGGCCTGGGAGCCTGGAACCAGGGCCAGTCCACTGTGACCACTGAGTTCTTCATCCTCCCCCATCCCATCTTGCAGGCCTGAGCCAGGGTGATGCTGAAGATGATGACATTCTTTCAAGGCCTTCCAGGCCAGCAGCCTATGCCAGGGACCCTTGACTTCCGTAGAAGCTCCCAGAAGTTGCCCTCCACGTCAGAGGTGGAGTCAGAAGCCTCCATGTCAGAGGCCTCCTCTGAGGACCTGATACCTCCCCCGGAGCCTGGGGTAGCCCCAGACAAGGAAGAGGAAGAAGCATTGAAGAAGAAGAAGAAGAAGAACAAGCCAAAAGGGCTAGCTGGCATGTTCAGTGTCTTTACCAAAGGGAAGAAGAAGAAGGGCCAGCTGAGCTCAGCGGAGCCAGAGAGTGAGCCTGAGACCACTCTGGGGCTGGATGCCCCATTGCCCTCAGGTAGGCTGGCCCCCAGGGGTCCTGCGTTAGAGCTAGGCAGCATGCAGCCCACGTTGGTGGGGTAGGAGGGCATGGGCATGAATGAGCCACTCACCCAGGATTTGGGGGCAGCAAGTTGGGCTTGGAGGTGTGTCTGCCTTCCCTCTTTCACCTGTGCCCCAATAGGATGGGCTGACAAGGGGCCGACCAGGGGCTCGTGAGACACTACCTTTATCCAGTGGGACCCAGCCTCCTACTCTGTGGGAGACTCGTCCTGCAGTCAGGTGGAGTCCCAAGCCATGCGCTAATTCGAGTTTCTGGGTCTCAGTGGAGGATCTCAAGGTGGCCCTGGAGCTTGGACAGCTGGAGGCGGCTCGGCCACTGCTGGCTTTGGAGCGGGAGCTGCAGGAGGCTGCCGCGGGCGGTGCGGGCGAGGAGGAGCTGGTGTGGCGTCAGAGCAAGGTGGAAGCGTTGTACGTGCTGCTGCGCGACCTGGTACTCAGTGTTCTGCGGCGGCCGCTGGAGGTGGCGCCTGAGCGGCTGCGCCAGGCTCTGGCCGTGGTGGTCGAGCAAGAGCGTGAGGATCGCCAGGCGGCCGCGGCGGGGCCGGGGACTTCGGCGCTGGCGGCCACGCGCCCGCGGCGCTGGCTGCAGCTGTGGCAGCGCGGCGTGTTGGAGGCCGCTGAGGAGCGCATGGGCGGGAGGCCGGCCGCGTGCGCCGAGGGCCGCTCGGAGGCTGAGAGCAGCTTTCTGCACATGGGCCGCACCATGAAGGAGGACCTGGAGGCGGTAGTGGAGAGGCTGAAGCCGCTGTTTCCTCCCGAGTTCAACGTGGTGGCGACCTATGCCCAGAGCTACCATGAGCACTTTGCGGCCCACCTGGCCGCCATGGCTCAGTTTGAGCTGTGTGAGCGGGACACCTACATGCTGCTGGTCTGGGTGCAGAATCTCTACCCCAAGTGAGTGCTTCAGGCTGCCGCCCGCCCTGGGGCATGAGTAGGGTGGAGTGGGAGGAGAGCCAAGGCTTGCAGAGAACTCTTTTTAGCGATGCCAGTGCTTATAGACTTGGGATCTGAGAAAGCAGGGATGGGACTTGGACTCAGAAGGATAAACCCTAGCCATGCGAGGTTGCGGCTTAGGCACAGGGACAGGGCTGGGTTGGAGCTGCTTTGCACTTAGCACCCTTGATTTCCTGGGGCCTTAGCCACATTCTGCATTTGAAGAAACTGAGGTACAGAGAATGGCTGGTAAAGACTTCATTCATTCATGAGCTCCCAGTCTGGGGAGGGCGGTGAAGCAGACAATGACAATCCAGAGCAGAAAGGGGTCTGAACAGGTCTGAGGGAGTCCAGGAAGCCAGCCCAGAGATTGCAGGAACCAGAGTCCCTGCCCTGGAGCAGCTTACAGTCTTATGCATGTGAGGAGTCAGGCTGGGGAGGGACTAGGCCAGGCCGGGAAGAAGGTGGGAGGGAGGATGATGTTCCTGACAGAGGTCATGGCATCTTAAAGGGCCTGAGCCTTGTGGCATTCTGGGAGTCAGCAGAACTTGTCAGAGTGTTTAGATTTGTCTGGCAAATCTGGGAGCACTGAGAGCAGCTATGGGGGCACCCTTGGGCAGGACAGTCAGTGCGGGTGGGATAGGGCAGGGGTCCAATTGGAAAGATCTGGTCTTGCAGTGTCACCCTATGAGCCTATGGCAGAGCTGGGGTCTGGCTGTGCTAATGGAGGACAGCTGGTATCCCAGCTGGGTACAGCCTCAGGCATCCCCTATTGGCCAAGACTCCATGGATTACTGAGTATGCCTCATATTCACACAAACTGCATAGGGAGAGCCATGTACTACAGGGTGGAAATGTCCAGCACATGGGAGGCCAGGGGCTTTTATTGTGAGGGCTCAGCTGCTGCCCCCCCCCCCCAGGCCATGAAGCCTCTGAAGGAAGCTGGAGCTGGAGCTGGAGACAGTATAGGAAGTGTCTGAGGCTTTGAAGACATTTGGGTGGCATTGGGCTCAGTTAGTGCTGATGGGTCAGTCTCTGGTGGAAGACAGAGAAAGAGCCCAGTGGGATGGTGGGTGAAGAGTCAACAGGGCATAAGGAAACTGTCATAGGACAGGGCTACAAGAGAGATAGCCCAGCCTCAAGCCAGTTCCTGCTTGTTGTCCTGACTTGCCAGGAAATGCCAGGCATTTACACCTCTGCCTATCAGTCTTCCTGTCCCAGTGACCTTAGGGTCTCCTAGCCTGGGACCCACAGCAAGAAACTAAGGTCAAGCTGGCCATGGCTCCTGGTGAAGGGGTACATGGCTCCTGGTCCAGGGAGGCATTGCTGAAACGTGTGGCCAGAAGTGTGGGGAACAGAAGGACAGCTGCATCTAGATGGGGTGAGGGAAACAGAGAGGGTCATTCTTAAGCCTCCAAACAGACAAAGGCCCCTTAGGAAGTGCTAGGGCTGGACAGGTCCCTTGGGAACTCAGGGACCCTGCAGAGGCGCCATGAGAGTGAGCTGAGACGCCTCCCTGGAACAGTTCAAGGACAGCCCTTCCTGCCTAGGCTGGCCCACCCTCTGGGGGCTGCAAGGCTAGCCTGGTTGGGGGGATGGCAGGGCTGGCAAGATGCCCAAGGTCAGAAGGTCTGGGAGGCCAAAGAGCTGGGTGGGTCTCAGGGTTGCTGTGGGCTGGCTTGGGGCAGAGAGATGAGATTTGGAAGGTGTGACTGCTGGGCTGAGAAGGGGCTCCTGAAGTCAGGGACAAGTGGATGAGAGTTGGAGGCCACCAGGGTATCAGGGTGGCTTGAGGGTAATGAATCTTAGGGGTTATTTAGGGACTAGTGTGGATGTGGGGCTGAAAGTGAGGGGAGACATGATAATGATTTCAGGTTTCTGACCTGAACCAAAGAGCAAATGGAGGACCCATTATCTGAAATGGAGAACAGGGTGGGGGTGCTGGAGGGTACAGGGGGAGCCTGGGCATGCCAGGAACCAGAGACAGAGGCTAAGAAGGTAGGTTCCTGAATGAGGGATGGTACTGAGTGGGTGCCCCTCTCCTTATGCCAGCCTCCCTCTGTCCACAGTGATATTATCAACAGCCCCAAGCTGGCAGATGAGCTGCAGGGTGTCGGGCTGGGGAACCTCCTGCCCCCAAAGCAAATCCGGCTGTTGGAGGCCACATTCCTGTCTAATGAGGTGGTGAGTCTTGCACTGGGACCAGGACCTGGGCAGTGAGGGGCTGTAAGGCAACTCAGAGGGGATCAGAGACAGACTGGGTAGAAGCAGGGAGCCTGACAAGGACTTGTAGGTAAGCAGGGAGGTGGGTCAGTGCTATGATGACCTACCCCTTCTGCCCCCAGGTCAAAGTGAAGGAGCTGATGGACCGTGCCCTGAAGCTGGAGTCACAGCACTGGGTCCAGAATGTGGCCCCCCAGAGGTTGGATGGTCACTGCCACAGTGAGCTGGCCATTGACATCATCCAGGTATCATAGGCTGCCCCATGTACAACCTACATGGTGTACACGTACAGTCCATGCATGTGCAAGCAGAGACCTGTGCCCATGTACTCCTGTGTGGATAGACATGCCCACTTCCTGGCACCCCCCTTATTCCAGCATGTTCCTTACCCCATCCCAGCCGCAGTCCAGGAGAATCCCTGCTCAGCTCACCTATCACTACCTTGCAGATCATCTCCCAGGCCCAGTCCAAGGCCGAGAGCATCACCCCTGAATTGGGCATGCAGATAAAGCAAGTGCTGCTGGCGGAGCTGTCTGCATTCCTTAGGAGGTGGGTGTGTGCATGTGTACCTGGAATGTGACCCTGCAGCCACCTGGCTCAGAGGGTCCAAGTTAGATCAGCCTCCACCCCACCCCACTGGATGCTGAGAGCCTCAGGAGGTCTGACCCTCACCAGGACTCAGGGTGGAGCTTCTTGCCCTCTAGTCAGCAAAGCTGACAGGACAGCAGCCCCAGAAGGGACCGAGATCCCTGCTACCCCTTCACCGACACCCCTGAGGATTCTTCCAGCTAACTATATCCCCTCTGGTCTTCCAGCAGTAAGAGCTCTGGGGGAAGGGCTGGGAGCAGCACTGCAGGGCTTGTGTTCTCTTCAGGAGCCCTGGAGGGTCTCTGGATTGTAAAGCTTGTGGAGTCAGTAGCATGATGCTTAGGGTCTAGCAGCCCCTTCCTGAGCTGTGGGGAGACAATCAAATGGAAAAAGTTCTCTGTAAAACCAGGGAGGGTGGCAGGGGCGGGCTGCAGGCTGCTATTGTGTTTGTGCTGGTCCTGAATGTGCCCTTTCTGGTTTCACCAGCTACCAGCGCACCTTTGATGAATTTCTGGAGAGATGCAAACAGCTGAGCAATTACAGGGCCAATGTCATTGCCAACATCAACAACTGCCTGTCCTTCCGGTGAGAATGCTCTAAGAGCTTGCGGGAGGAGTGGCAGGGCTTGGCCTGTGGGTAGAGGCTAGTTGGGGATGAGAGGAGGAAGAGCTGCTCAAACAAAGAAGTGGATTTAAAGTTAAGAAGACATGTAAGGAAAAGACTGGGGCCTGCGGTAGTGGCAGCAGCAGCAGCAGCAAACCTCAATGCTGGATGGCTCAAGCACTTATGCAAATGATTTACTCTTTATTTTCCCCTTTTAATAGCAGGTACAATAGAGCAGGTACAATGATGATGCCTGTTAAGCTGGTGGACAAATTGAGTCATGGAGAGGCTGACTTGCCCTCAGTTAGAAGGGAATGTAGTGTAAGTGTGTGCTAGGAGGCATGGAGAGCATGGACAAGAGGACTTGGTTTTGATCCCACAGAGGAGGAGCCATCAAATGTTCTAGAATGAGGAGGGGGGCTCACTGCTTTCCTGGGTGTGTGGCTATAGGCTGGGTGACCTTCTTGCTTCTGTCTCCCAGGACAGCCATGGAACAGAAGTGGCAGGTCCCACAGGACCCCCTAAGGCCCCTGAATGAGCTCAAGAGCCATGGCTTTGACTCCCTGCTCCAGGACATGTTCATGGACCTGAAGGTGGTATCCTGGGGCAGGCTGGGGAGGGTGCCCCTGGGGAGGACACATTCTGAGCCTGTGGGAGGCATGGAGCAGGGCCAGGTACTGTGCCAGGTGATGGGGCCCTAGAAGGCTCCTAACTTTGCCTGTCACTTCGTACTGGGGCTTGGCCTGAAAGGGGCTACCAGGGCTGGGAGGGCTTGGAGAAATAGACCCAGACATGTTCCCAGGTTTAGTCATATTTTTCCTCTAAGTCCCCAGACTTTCCTTCTCTGTCCCTGTGTCCAACTCCCAGCTCCTAATGCATGGGGCCTTTGGCATCAGGGTCACTTCTCCTCTGGGCCAAGAAATCCACAGAAAATCCTGTGAATTAAAATAGTTCCTTTAACAGAGGTTGGCATGAGGGTCCTTCAAAAGGAAGAGAAGATATTCTCTGCCCAGTGTTTGGGACTAGAGGCCACATGTGGTTCAAGGCTAGTGAAGTCCTTACCAGTGACCCTGGATCTCTTGGCACCAGGTCTCGAAGGCTCAGCCAAGCATAAGGATTTGTTTATGCAGGAATTTATTTATTTAAGAGGGAGGCAATGGAAAAGGCTTTGGGCCAGCAGACAGGCCATCCTGGCCCCTGAGCCACAGCTGTATGACCTTGAAGAAGGATGTACAAACCCTGCCTCCAATTTCCTGTCTATGAGCAGGGACCTAAGCTCTGCCCAGGTTCTCTGGGATTCCTTGAGCTCCCTCCCCCAGCCCTCCTACTGTGCACGTGTGTCTGTGTGTGTGTCTGCAGATGGTGGCCCTGCCTCTCCAGGGTGTGACCAGACTTCCTGCCTCTCCCTTCTCAGACACTCTTTAAGAAATTCACACAGACCCGCTGGACAACCCCAGCAGAGACCCTGGAGGAAATCATTGCCACCGTGGGTGGGAAGCTGTCTGAGTTCTCAGAACTGCAAGACTGTTTCCGGGAGGTAAGGAGGCTCTGGGCTGGTAGCTAGGCCTGGAGAAGTAGGGGGGCAGCTTGGGCATGTGCGCCAACACATGTGTCCACCCACACCCACACTGGCTCACACGCATGCACATGTGTGCACTCTTACCCTGTTATCTATCTCTTGGGGATTCCTGGATTCAAGGCTTCAAGGGAGGTGGTGAGCTCCCCATCAGTGGTTGGCTCATATGACCCTGGTTGTTCGCCCTCCCAGGAGCTCATGGAGGTCATACACTTGCACCTGGTGAAGGAGTACATCATCCGCCTCAGCAAGCGGCGCGTGATTCTCAGGACGGCCGAGCAGCAGCAGCAACTGGCAAAGCATATCCTGGCCAATGCCGAGGTCATCCAGAACTTCTGCACCCAGAACGTAAGCCCCTGCTCACTCCTCTTTTGCCCCTTGGAGCGCGCTCCTTTTTACCTTCAACCTTTTCAGGGTCCATAACAGAACTCTCAGGGCCTCTTGAAGCCCAACCAGCTATTGACCTGAGCTTCTCTGGGCCCCTGGGTATCTGTGAGGATATGGGCAGGCTCCTTCCAACCACACCTGTGCCTGCAGGGCTCCCCTGCAACCTGGCTGCATCCGGCCCTCCCCAGGCTTGCTGAGATCATTCGCCTGCAGGATCCCAGTGCTATCAAGATTGAGGTAGCCACTTATGCCACCTGCTACCCCGACTTCAGGTGAGAACTAGGGGGACTGAGCTGTTAGCCTGGCCCTACCAGGCCCCTCTGTGGTGAGGGGCCATATGGGGCTGGCATTAGGAGCCCAGAAACTGATATTCCACAGTGGTGCAGTCATGATAGCTGACCTCTGCTGTTTGCTGACTGTGTGTAGTCACCGTGCCAAGATCTTTACCAGGGACTTAATTTGACTCATTTAGTCTTTGCCATGGCCTTACAAGGCTGACACGTCAATCTCATTTTACAAATTAGGCCTGGAGAGCTTAAGGAGTGTGTCTAAGATGACACAGATAGTTAGTAGTGGAGCCAAGGTGAAAAGACCAGGCAGTCTGGCTCCCCACCCGTGCTGTTAGCCTTATGTGACACTGCCTCCTGAGACCTGAGAGACCAGGGTCTACCACTCAGCCTGGAGACCTGGGGGCCCTAGACCTGTGCCCTGGGCTCTGAGGCTCCTGTTTGGGAGTGGAAGATTAGCACGTGGCTGCCTGGGGATCTGGTGAGCCAGGGACATTGTTTCTCTCTGGAATGGTAAGAAAAATTCAAATGGGTCTTGATAGGGGTTGACTCATCTTAGCCCAGGTCAGCTCCTGGCTGATCCACTCCACCCACCTAAGCACCTGGTTGCCCATCTACTCATCTACCCAACCATCTGCTTACCCATCCATCCACTCATCCCACCAGCAATTGTTTAGCAGTCTGCTAGGTACCAGGCTCTGTTCTAGGCACCAGGATGCAGTGAAACGCAGGACAAGCAGTTCCCATTCCTTTGAGAGGCAGCGATAAAGAAGTAATCAGACAAAGAAATATAATTGCAAGCAGTAATGAGTTTAGCCAAGGTCATGATCAAAGAAGGGGCTTTAGAGATGGGAAAGTTTCTTGGGGAAGGTGACATTTTAGCTGATACCTAAAGATGGGAAGTTGCTAATCATCTCAAGTGTGGGAAAGAGCATTCCAGGAGAAACAACCAATGCAAAGGCCACTCTTGGGACCACTGGCTGCCGGAGCATGTCAGGAGCAAGGAAGGCCTCTTAGTGGGCAGGAGATTGGCTGTAGGGCCCTGTGGCACTGGCTAGGAGTCTGGGGAGCCAGAAAGAGATTTGAGTGGGGATGTTGGTGACCAGCTGGGCTCACAGGTTAATCTCTTTTCCAGCAAAGGTCACCTGAGCGCCATCCTAGCCATCAAGGGGAACCTATCCCCCAGCGATGTAAAAAGCATCCGGAGTATCCTCGATGTCAACACAGAGGTGCAAGAGCCCTCCAGATCCTTATTTTCCCTTATAAAGGTTGGTTAGCATTTCCTGTGGTACGACTTGCTTGGGAGCACCCAGAAACTATTGGGTACCATCCCACATGCAGCAATAACCCTGTCACGGGACTGTGCAGACCAGCCCTGGCTCATGGCCTCTCCTGTGCCTTTGAACTCTGCTGCTGCTTCTGCCTATCCCTGCCAAAGTGCAGGCCCCTGGGCAGCTCAACTAGGTTAACCCATGCTTTGCTTCTGTGTCTGGTGGGGGCAGAGCACCCACTGTGAGAAGCCAATAAGGAAATACCTAAGAAACTCTCTATAAATCGTCGTCGATTGTGTGTGCACACAGGAGGGAGCCAAGAGAGACAGTGCCACCAGGGCAAGGGTCTTGGACCACCTTGTGTCCAGGGGACCTTTCCACAGTGTGCCTCCTGGTTGAGTCTGAGCCCCTTATTTACCCCCCAAGAGTCAAGGAAGAGCTACACCTATCCTGCCTCCTTCAGCCAGGACCACAAAAAGCTGGGTTTGGCAAGTCTGGAATTCAAGACAGAATTGAAAGAAAAAAAGGTAAAGAACTGTTATCTGGGGCCTGGAAAGGGACTTCTGGGGTCATGTGGTATGTTGGGAGCAGAGCCAGCATCAGAGACTTCCGGATTGCCCACCTGCTGGCTGCCCTGGGAGATCAGACCTTGACCCCTCTCTACAATCTAAAGGCTTTTTCCCCCAAAGGTTCCAATGGGAGCCTTGGTGTTTACCATAGCGGGGCCCAGGACCTCCTGGGTCTTCTTGGATTTACCCTCCTGTTATTTAGGGACAGGGCCCAGGGTGCCTTAATGGGCCCTGCCACCTAAGTGTCTGGCTGAGGTCTGAGCAAGCTTGACCTCTGACTCCTTGGCCTCTGTAATGGTTGCTTATGTGTCATAGACTTAGTGAATTTCAGCAGGAACATATCCCAAAGTTGTTTCCTATTGCTTCTGTGACACATTTTCACAGACTTACTGGATTACAACAGGAAGGTATCCCACAGTTCTGTAGGTCGAAAGTCCAACATGGGCCTAAAATCAAGGTATCTGAAGAGCCTTCTGGAAGAATTCATTACCTGGCCTTTACATTTCCAGAAGCTGCTGATATGTCTTGATTCAAGGTCCCTTCATCTTCAGAGCTAGCAGGGAATAGTTGAATCCTTTTCCTATCACATCCGGGAGACCTCCTTTCCTCCCTCTGCCACTTAAGGACCCTTGTGATGACCCTTGTGATTAAGCTTACCCAGATAATACAAGGTCATCTCCCTGTTTTAAGGTCAGCGGATTAGCAACCTTAATTCCATCTGCAATCTGACTTCCTATTTGCCATGTAACCAGCATAGTCACAGACTGGGGAGTGGCACGTGGAAGCTTTAGGGAGGCTGTTCTGTCCACCATGGGCTCTGCCTATCCCCTGTCCTTCAGGGGACTTCATTCTACCCCAGGAAAACAGGAGTTCAGTTTCCCTGCTCAGCTTCTGCCATCCCACAGCCCCTTTCAGCACAGAAAGGGCAGTTCAGTTGCAATTATGCCTTGGACCTCTTGGGTTGTTCCCTTTTCCCAGGTACTGCCTTATGGAATTGTGGCCGAGAATTGGCTGTTGTAAATATGCACAAGGTTTCTGTACATTTGTAGTAATTAGCATGTTTGATGTTAATATTGTTTTTGATAGTACTGCTTTTGTATGTGTATATTCAGAACAAGATCCAAGTTTTTATAGTTTGATATAAAGCTGACTTCAAAAGTGGCTATGGAGTGGTTTATTTGGGGAGCTGCAAAATGATGGGATTGGGGGAATCCTTAATACTTTCTCTCAAGGTCTGGGCAAACCATGTCTTCCAGTGCTCTGTGTCAAATCCCCAACCATTGGGGGCCCTAACCAGAGTGCCCCCTGGGTCCAGGTGGGAGAATGACCCAGCTCTTCTCACTTGTGAGCATGACCTTTTCAGTCATGTCCCTCTTCTGTGCCTCAGTTTCCTCATCTGTAAAAACGAGATCATGACCCTTTGGGGCTCCCCTCCACTGTCCTTTACTAAGGATGATGGGGGTGGTGGGAGGGTGGGGTGGACCCGTGAGGTGGACCCATTAGGAAACTTATGTTCATATTTCTGGCACTGACCCTGATAGCCACTGCTATGAGCAGAAGCAGCCACGGTTTGTGTTCAGAGATGGCCACAGCTGCCAGGGAACACTGGTCTGTCTTCTCCAAATCTCAATTTTGGCCTGGAATTTGAGAAAGAGTGGAGTCCCGCAGGAGGGAAGGAGTATCTTGGTAAATCCATTCCACAGAACCCAGGGAGAGACATAAGGGAAGCCCTGTGCAGTTGGTGGTCCTGTGGGAAGAGCCTGGATGTCAGCTGGGCAGCACAGGGCAGAGGAGGCCATTTCTATAGAGAGTTCCATCAGTGGGGCCAATGGGCATGGGGGTGGGAAGCAAAGATAGAGGGAGACAAAGGTTAGGGCAGGCATCCTCAAACTACGGCCCACGGGCCACATGCGGCCTGCCTAGGACATTTATCCAGCTCGCCAGGTTTTTTGCCTCTGCTGCCTATCCTGCTTAGCAGCCAATTCATCCTGGGGCCTGCAGTCCGGCCCTCCAACAGTCTGAGGGACAGTGAACTGGCCCCCAGTTTAAAAAGTTTGAGGACCCCTGGGTTAGGGCCTAGAGGGGACTCCTGCTGCTGGCTATGGGCTGCTGGGTGGTTCAGGCATTGGGGGGAGCAGTTGGGAGAAAGGGACCAGGGTACCCCTCCCTTATATGGGTGAGCCAGGCAAGAGAGATGAGAACTGAGGACAGATAGAAATTTAAATTGATAGTGCAGGCTTAACTGACTGACAGGCAGCTGAGGTCCAGGTGGGGTTCCAAGCCCCCACTCACTGCAGCCAGGGCCAGCAGGGTCTTGGAACAGGAAAGTAGCAGGACTTGGAGGTGACTGGACCCCTCTAGGCCATGCCCCTAACCTGAGAGAGGAGTGGTTTCCAGGCTTCTGGATAGACTCTAGCTCTAGCTCCAGGCAGTATCTCAAAGTTCCCACTGTTCTAGCTCTCTCAGGGAGGGGTCTTGGCTTGTCACTCTGCAGGCCAGAGAGGGCCTATAGAGGCCCATAGCTTTCATGGAGTAGGGAATTAAGAATTTCAGGCCCAAGTGCAGGGTGACTCAGCAGGGAGCAGGGGCAGCTCTAGCTGTGCTATGACTCTCTGGAGAGGGGACAGCTTATTGGGGACCCCAGTCTTGAGATGGTCTCTTGCTCAGACTGGTGGAAAGCAGTGTAGGGGAAGGAAACTTGGGCAAAGGTGGCAGGTGGAACCAGGAAGAAACCCGGACTTTATGAGAAGGAAGAGGGGCTGGGTGAGTGAGATAGGGATGAAGAAAGATCCCCATAAGGAAAGGGCAAAGACTCTTGGACAGGGACTCCTTGGGGCTGGGAGCTGGAGCTCAGCCCAGCTGGAAAGGGAAGCACCAGATGGGTCTGAAGAGTGAGTTGGTGCTGATGCGATCTGTAGCCTGGAAAGATACATGCCCCCAACGGCTGCTGCCTGCTGCCTGCTGCCTGCTGCCTGGAGAATGAAGAGTACAGGGGCAGCCTGGAGACCCCTTTGAGGTTCCTGGAGTTCCCAGGGAAGAGATGAGGGCATCAGCAAAGGCCCTGACTATAGGATGAGATGGAGTGGGCACCATGGAGGGGCTGAGGGGAAGAGCAACCCACAGCCTTTTAAAGGACCTAAGCAAGCCAGGCTGAGGGGGGTACTGTCTCCAAGAGAGATCAGGAAAGGTCTGGCAGGTGAGGGGAAAGATGGGGGTGGGGGGAGAAGAGATTGGGTCAGGTTAAGTTTGAGAGGTCTGCAGAAATGGAGCATGGCTTATTAAATTGACCAAAACCTAGGTAAGTCACAAAACTTTGTGTGTAAAGCTGGACATGAGGGCTTCTCACTCACTGCTTTGGGGCCATTATTTGCCAGGGTCCCTTTGAAAGATGATTTGGATTTATGTGTCAGACCACCAAATGCATAGCCCATGAGCCATCTAGGAATTTCTCTTATCCATCCTCTAACATCCATGCAAAACAACTCAGGTACAAGGTTAGTCACTTCTACTGTAGTAGCAAAATACTGAAATGTCCATCAGTAAACACCAGGGAAATAATTGTAGTGCACCCAAACAGTGGAGTACTATGTAGCTATGAAAAAGAATGAGGACTTTCTTCTGATTTGAAAATTCAGAACATACAATTTTTTATGATTTTATTTTGTGTTTTTTAGAGACAGGGTCTTGCTTTGTCACCTAGGCTAGACAGTGTAGTGTCTTGATCATAGTGCACTATAACCTATAACTCCTGGGCTCAGGTGATCCTCCTACCTCAGCCTCCCATGTAGCTGGGCCTACAGGTGTGCATCACGGCACTAGGCTAATTTTTCTGGTTTTTTTTTTTTTAGAGACAGGGTCTCACTCTTTCTCAGGCTGGTCCTGAACTTCTGGCCTCAAGCAATCCTTCTGTCTTGGCCTCCCAAAGTTCTGGGATTAGAGGTGTGAGCCACTGGACCTGGCCTAGAACATATAAGGAGAGGCACAGTGCAGAACAGAGTTTGTGGTGTGCTGCCTTCAAATAAACAAAAATGGAAAAATATATACATACATTTGGAGACAGAGGTTGGAAAGGAAATATTTTACCACATACTTTGTTATAATTCATTGTTCAGCCTTGTGAATGTGTTATATGAGGGTGGATATGTGAGTACTTAAGGGAAGAGTCATATCTTAATGTGCTTGTATTGCTAGAAATAATGATTTGATAAGCTTAAAACCAATATTCAATTGTTTATTATAAGTAAGTTAGGAATTGAATTAAGAAAGTGATTGCAGGCTCAGCGCCTGTGGCTTAAGTGGCTAAGGCGCCAGCCACATACACCTAAGGTGGTGGGTTCAAATCCCCAGCCTGGACCTGCCAAACAACAAGGATGGCTGCAACCAATAAATGGCTGGGCATTGTGGCAGGCGTCCGTTGTCCCAGCTACTTGGGAGGCTGAGGCAGGAGACTTGCTTGAGCCCAGGAGTTGGAGGTTGCTGTGAGCTGTGATGCCATAGTACTCTACCCAGGGGGACAGCTTGAAGCTCTGTCTCAAAAAAAAAAGAAAGTGATTGCAAAAGGCACAGAGACAGGAAAGAAGTGAATCAGAGAAACCCAAGATCTGTTGCAAAGTGCGACCGCCTGAAAGCCTGGCATTTTCAAGCAGACTGTCTTGCTGGACCTCCCCCAGTGCAACTGGGCTCAGAGGTCACTGAGTACTGAGAGACAAGGCTCGCCTAGGCAGGGCTGCCCCCTCAGGGAGAGTGAGTGCCTTGGGGGAGTTAGGGAATGCAGAATGTGCTGGAGACAGGATGAGTATCTAAACTTTGCTAAGAGAGAAAAAGTCTCTCAGAAAAAGATAAAGAGAAAAATATCTCCTTTCTTCTGTCATCTTGGTATTGGCAGAAGTGCCAGCTTGTCTGAGCACAAGGCTTCCTGGTGGTTAATTGCCACTCCTGAGATTTGTGTGTGTGATCTAATTGGGGTCTGCTTTGACATCCTGCTCCTGGACTGTGTTCCCTGTCCCATCCTCTGTTTGTGTTAAGATCATAACTTAGAATAATAATAGTAAGAGGTAAATCAGTCTAATTAATGTGGTTAGTTAAAGAAGTAGTTTGGTTAGAAAATGCAACGCAAGCCCAGAGAGGTGGTCAGTCACTGTGACCCAGCTCTTTTTTTTGAGACAGAGTCTCACTGTGTTGCCCTCAGTAGAGTGATGTGGTGTCACAGCTTACAGCAACCTCAAACTCTTGGGCTTAAGCGATTCTCTTGTCCTAGCCCAAGTAGCTGGGACTACAGGTGCCCACCACAATGCCTGGCCATGTTTTGGTTGCAGTTGTCATTGTTGTTTTAGCTGGGCTGGGTTCGAATCCGCCAGCCTTGGCGCATGTGGCCGGCGCCATAACCACTGCACTACGGGTGGCAAGCCCGACTCAGCCTATTTAGCAAACTTCCTCTTTGTGTCTTGACTCTTCATTTTTCCTCATCCTCTCTGCAAGTCTACACCATGAGAAAGAACTCATGGTGTAGTTTGGGGCTGGTCCCCAACAGTTATATGTTACCATTTTATAATTGAACATTTAATGAGGAAATGGAAGCAGTCGTTGCTAGAGTTTTGAGGCGGGAAGAGAAGATGGGATAGTCCTCTCAGGCCTGGGATCATCCAGCCATGTTGCCTGTTTGCTAGAAGCAGGTTTGTAAGCAGCCTTGATTTTTCTTTAACCAAGCTTGGTGCTTAGGTGCAAGCCTGCCATCACAAAGCTGGGTTTAACCAAGAACCTGGTTTTTGTCAAGTGATCACACCAGAGGGCAAGAGCTGGAACATGTGAGATGATCACTAGGCAGAGGCTATAGCAGGGGGCCATGAGGTCATGGGGGCTCCACTGGCAAGGAGGGAAGGTGGTGGGGTAGGTCTAAAGGAGTGAGGGGTCTCAGGGGCAGTGGGGAACTTCAGGGTACAATAAGGGGAATGAATGAGCGCAGGGGCCCTTGTAGTTGAGGCTGTGCAGATATTGGTGAAGTTGCAGTTGGAGTGTGGCCTAGAGGGTGTGTGGCTGACAGACTGATGAGGGCTCAAAGGACCTGGGCAGCAGCATGTCGATACTGATGGAGTGACGGAGGGGGATAGTGAGCAGGAACTGATGTCTTCTGAG